ATAACAAGGTTTAGGACAAACCTCAGGTTGTGACCCTGATACTTTAGTTTTTAATGTAGAGGCTATACAAGTCCAGTTATGTTTAGGTGTTGAGGCAAACGTATGAGCTATTTCACCTGTAGATTAGAATTATAATAATATTAAAAACTTACATGATAATAGAAACAAAGAATATTTCATTTATAAGAGGAACATTATGAAAAGAATTCAGGAACATATTTTAACCTAAATCACCCGTCTCGTTAAGATGTGAATTTCTTTTTTTCTTTATAATGAAACAATATTTCACTTATAAAATTTACAGATTTGACAAGAGTTTGGATTTCTCCTTGTAATAAAAAAAATTCTCTTACCAGTCTTTTTAAAGTTACGTGTCCACATACAAGAACCAAGAGCTAGACATTTTTTACAGTCGGCAGCAGGACAGATATATTCCGGACAACTACGTGCTTTAACCACAGAATGTTGTAATATCTGACATTTATTTTCCGTGGCACAATCAGCATCTTTAGCTATACACAATCCTTTTTTACAGTTCGTACACCATTTACACATCTATAATATAACAACCACAATCTATAATATAACAGTTTAAATACATTTCAAAATATAACAACCACGATCTATAATATAACAGTTTAAATACATTTCAAAATATAACAACCACAATCTATAATATAACAGTTTAAATACATTTCAAAATATAACAACCACAATCTATAATATAACAGTTTAAATACATTTCAAATTATAACAACCACAATCTATAATATAACAGTTTAAATACATTTCAAAATATAACAACCACAATCTATAATATAACAGTTTAAATACATTTCAAAATATAACAACCACAATCTATAATATAACAGTTTAAATACATTTCAAAATATAACAACCACGATCTATAATATAACAGTTTAAATACATTTCAAAATATAACAACCACAATCTATAATATAACAGTTTAAATACATTTCAAAATATAACAACCACGATCTATAATATAACAGTTTAAATACATTTCAAAATATAACAACCACGATCTATAATATAACAGTTTAAATACATTTCAAAATATAACAACCATGATCTATAATATAACAGTTTAAATACATTTCAAATTATAACAACCACAATCTATAATATAACAGTTTAAATACATTTCAAATTATAACAACCACGATCTATAATATAACAGTTTAAATACATTT